ACCTCTGCATTGCCTTAAATAAAGCCCCAAAAACACTAAAATCTTAGAATTCATGGGCGGACTCTGATTCTTTCTAAATTGACCCGACCTATGGGAGTCCCTGCGAAATCTGATACAGGAAGTATCGTACTACCAGAACCTTGATCGAGCTGTATGTTACAGATAGTTGCTTGTAATGATGGCAATGCTCCGGCTAATATGAGAGAGTTTCTGCTCCCTTTTTGGACAGCCCATCGATCCATGCCAGGCCTTAATTAAAATAATCGTACCGGTACAATGGATTGTTACCACAAAACAGAAAATCTAAGGTGCAATAAATAGAAAATCTTCGAAAGTTACAAAAACATCATGAGCCACACCAAATTATAAAGACTCACAGAAAGGAAGGAAACGAATATAGTACAAACGTGACTGTAGACCCTAGTTACCAACAATCTTACACCGCTTGGTTTCAAATTGCAGTGCCCTTGATCGGTGAATGGGTTATCAACAGTGCGTGGACCGAATGCCAGTAGATGAAGCATAGTGCTAGAGAAGAATACGAGTTTTAGCTATCAAATCTAAAATCATAAATCCCATGAAAATAGATCCGCAACAGACAAGGTAGCCTAGAAATTCGATCCAAGAATCAATAAGTCGTTATTGCCCTCCATCCACAGCCAGAGGCTCCTAAACCTACTAGTATGACCCAGGGTCATAGTAGGTTAGGTATGGGATAAGCATGAAAGAGGTAAAGCTTCACCCTAATCTATGGAAGAATATAGTATCATTTGTACAAGCAGCCGGACACTGTTGACATGAGGGGTTGCTCCTTTAGAGATAGAGCCAAGTACGTTCCTCAAAGTGGATTTGTTGATACCAAGTAGTGGCAGATAATGATAATATTATCCTCTCTTAATGCCTCGCTTACACGGCAATCCAAGACAATAGGATGCCAGTCTGCAATATCTTCCTAGTTCCTCATAGAGATTCTAAAATCTCGCTTAATCCGCAGCCAACGTAATATAGAAGGATTATTAATCGAAATTATTATTGATAAGGCAGGATGTTACTCATTAAGCGCCAGGGTTAGATTAGGACGATGTAACACCTGAATTGTGCCACTAGGTGTGGAGGTGTGATTCACTATATGCAGCCTTTTTAGATGTGGTCATAGGAGACAAGTGAATATGATATTATGAAGCATTAGGGAGAGCTGCTTAGTAAGTGGATTCTGCTCCCAAAAATCCATTGAGAATAACGGACCATTGTTATGTTCTTATTAGTTAAAAAACTCAGATGATAGAGACTGATCTAGCCAGTGGGATTATGAGTACACGATGTAGCCTACTCTTAGTTGATTAGCCTTAGGAGGCCATGCACCCAAGGCATAATGGCATAGGTACTCTTAATATGTCCTATGGATTAGCAAGTAGACTCAACTATGTGTTAGACAACAGCTGCATAACCATGTAGGAGTATGGACATTGGTAAATCAAAAGCCAGTCAGTTCTAGTTATGGCACCTCCACATATCAGTACGCACTTAAGTACCCAATAACTCAGATAGAATCAGTTTAGTACAAATTATTGGCACAGAGGTCGCAATAGCAGTTGTTTGGAAAATTCAATACTGATTAGCGATAAAGATTGAAAGTCAAGTCATTTCCTCCAGAAGTCTAGAGAGATAGTCGCAAGGGGCATCACTTACTCAGAAGATTTGGGCAGTAGCCATTACCCACCTAGTTTTTGTCTCCATCTACTGTAGGTTTACGATTAGGTTTGCAAAATGGGATCTTGGGAAACCTCAAGCGGGCAACATGGTGGCTCAATACTTGGCGCATATAAGATAATGTAAATAATAATGATGGGAAAAACTTATATAATGTTAAGAGATCTGTTCGAGTCAGCAGCTCTTAAGTTCGGGAAGATAAATTTGAGGCTGCTTAAAAATGGTATCATGTAACCTGCCTAAAATTAGTATTACTTCATAGAGCTCAAAGCGTTATTTTTCAGAAAGATTTACCAATTGTGTGGAACCAAATAGTACAGTCACTAAATGGAGTGAGAAGTAGTATGTTATGACAAGGAGAGGCCATCCCCACGCAAGACCTCTCACCTCAGATACTCATAGTTCAATAGAAGATAACCTACAGTTAATTAGTATGATCAACTGACAATTGTAGGAGTAGTATGCGGTTGATGATTTGCCTAAAAATATAGATTGTTCCGTATAGCTCGCTTACTTGAAGGATCTCTAGTATACTACGTATCTGATCGATGACTAGCCTTAATCGAAAGTTCTCTCTTGTGATCGAGAGGGGTAATTAATTATAGGGGCTTGCGCCTATAGGAAACCAGAACTCAGATCATAAAGTCCTCACAAAATGAGGGCGAAATCTCTGGGTAGTGTCTTATCTACAAACCCATCTGCCTTCCAAAATTTACCTCGGAACTTAATTCGTTAAAACTCCCTCGCCGAATAAGAAAAGCGAGCGGAGGCCGGGGCCGAATTTTCGGAGCCCACAGTAATTGAGTTGACATACAAAATAAAAGCATGAGTATTATCATATTTGTTCATCGTGGTGCTTGAGCTTGCAATCAAGAATATTACATCTTTGTATATATTTAACTCGCACATTTTTTGCACGCCACTTGATATTAACTTCTAGGGTCTATTCCTTATTATAATATTAGAATGTTGGGACCTCATACCATTGTTTAAAATTGCTCAATATGAGGCTCGCCTTGAGGCCCGCATTAGTGCAATTCTAGTGAAAATGCATCAAGGCTTACACCTCAAACTTTTTTTATGAGACTTGCGGCACAGCTTGGCTGAGGCGCACCTTGAGGCACGCCATGACTCACTGGCATAAGGCTTACGCCTCACCCAATTTATATATATATTTATTAAAACTTATTTAAATCCTAAACTAAAGCCCCGAACAAAACACGTTTTAATGCACCCCCAAGATGCAATAAGTTCCTTTCGATTGCCTTGATCTCCAATCCTCCATTTTATCTATAGTTACCACCGTCATAGCCGCCATCAGGGATCACTTGAAACTCACACACCACTGCCACCTCAAATTTTTTTTTAGTATTTATATTATGTTTATGTTAATGAAAAACATTTATGAAAGAAGAGTTTAATTGAAATAAATAAATAAAAACAAATTGGGATGCGTTGGACTCCATAGGATGAGACAGGGGAGAGACCAATTTGTTATGATGACGATTCAAATAAAAACCTTCTCAGTGATGATAGTATAGATGATTTCTAAGTTTTTGTCAACTATTTTAGTTTTCTTTAGGAATTAAATATGGATGGGTAGAAAACTGAGAAAGAAGGAATTTGGAGTTAAACTCATATTATATGATAATTTTATGTCATTCCTATATTTAATATTATTTTGCTCTTATAATATTTGTATTTTAATTCTATTTCATGTAATTTATCACTTGTCACTTTATGTCTTGTGCAATTTTTTATATTATATGTATGCAGAGATGAGGATGTTTAGGTGGATGAGTGGCTTGACCCTTAGAGATAAGATACGAAATGAGCATATACGTGAAAAGGTTGGAGTAGCTCCAGTGGAAGATAAGATTAGAGAGAGTCGCCTTAGATGGTTTGGCCGCATTAAACGGAGGCCTTCCGATGACCCTTTTAGAAAAGTTGAGGTATTAGATTTGACTTATGTTAAGAAAGGTAGAGGTAGACCTAAAAAGACTTGGTTAGAAAATATTAGAAATGATCTTTCTTTATTAGATTTAAATGAGAATTTGACTTTTAACTGGGCACAATGGCGAAAAATGATTCATGTAGCTGACCGCACGTAGTGGGACAACGGCTTGATGTTGTTGTTGTTGTTGTTGCATGTATGCCAATTTATTACTTCATGATTCTATAGAAAGTTAACATGTCATCCTTTGATATATTGTTTGAGTATTATATAAAAAATCACTTTTAACATTTATTTTGACTTAACGCATTTTTCTGATTTTGAGGCTTACGTCTCAAAACATCTTGAGGCTTACGTCTCAAAACGTCTTGAGGTTTACACCTCGCCTTATGAAAAAAAACGTCTCAATATCCAATTGCGTAATGTTAAATCTTTCCTCGTACATATATACTTGTTTTGCCTATTAGCATAATTATTATTCACACTTTAGTTTTTCCGGATTTGTTACTTAATTGTGACCTTTTGAAATTGTAAATAATTTTGTTTTATTATTTTGTATTGGGATTCTTATTTCCGAACGGTGGTGTAAATGTTGATTCCTACATCAACTGCTTCCAGATAAGCTCACAACTATTTTTTCAATATTACATCATCTTCTACTTCGCCATAACTATTATCCACTATTAGATTATCCATAATTGATGGAAGGTGAAGATTGTTTCGGGTGTATTATTATTACTACCGCTCTATGGGGTATAGTATTTGGTGGCCAAGTGAATTGATGCGCACTTGAGTTTTGAATTTTTATTTTGTTTTGGACATCTGAGTGTTTTGTCTTTTGTATTTTTATGATTTTATTAGGGCTATTCAAATTATTGTCATTAAGTTATTTTGAAATATGTTAGCAATTTATTTACAGTTTGTTAGAGTTGTTGCTTCTACCCTCTTGTAGTATGAGAACTCTAACTAATATAGTTGATGATCTGAACTTAATTTTTATTGTCCTCGTGTCTCTTCATTTTTGTTTATTTTGAGATTTAATCTTTGATTAAATGCTAGACTTGAAACCCTTCTGATATTTCATTTTTCTTATTTACGCGCAGTTTTTTTCTTATTTTGTTACTATTTTAATCTTTTTTATCTTTTCCATCTTCTCTATTATCTTATATTTTTTTTTTTGGTCAATGCCATTTTGTTTCACGCATAGTTCTAATTAGAGCCAAATTACATATTTCATGCATTTTTCTTGTTAATTACATTATCTTTCTAAGTTTATTGCGATTCTCAGTGTGATACGGCAATGCAACTTACCTGATGTGTTTTACAATTTTCTTAGATTCTTTTGGTTCATATTCCATCTCGTCATCCATCAACTTTTCCTGAGCTGGAATTGCCAACAGTTTTACAGGTAGCTGTATTTGATTTTTGAAACTAACGAACGGTAGTTATTGCCATAAAATGTGTAATTTTTATGTTACCATCGTCACATTTGCATATTGACTTGCGGCTTCCCTTTCTATTATAAATTACATGTTTTGATTGTATGTCAAAATTTTCCTTAATATTAAGTTGAGCCGTTCGTGGCAGAATCCTAGTAGCTTTAATAGATGCAAACGGCTCCTTGTTGGAATGCTTTTTTACTTCTTGGAAATTACGGACAAAGTTGCTGTGAACTTTGAAACTTACCATGCCGCCACAACTTGAGTTTGTTTACACTGCCACAAGCCACCATTGCTCAAGGACTATGTTGCACCAATACGGATATGACGACACGGATACGGATATGGATACGGGACACATCATTCTTAAAAATACAGGATATGGGTACGGCGCCGACACATCATTATAATTTATAAATCATACATAAAAATTAAAAAAACAATCAAAGCATAATATTTGAAATTACCAAAAAAATGAAAGCAACATCATTTGTAGCCTTGTAGCTTATAATATCAAAATAAAAGTAAGTATTAAATGTCTAGTACAACCACAAAAGCATAAACATAAATTTTCTAGCACATGAAGTTTCAACTATTCAATAGAAGGAATGATATGATTAGCTTCTTCAGTGGTTTGTCTTTGAACTTCTATATCATCTTCAATAAATATCATAGCTTCTAATTCAGGCTCATCAAGTGAAAGATTAGCAATTTCTAATTTTTCCCATATCATCAAGAGACTCAGATCCATCTCGAAAATGAGAGAACCTCGCTCACAACTGTGGAAGTAAATACGACGCGTCTTTTTTTTCAAATTTTTTTTTTTGTTTTTTAAAGGACACGCGTATCCAATATGCGTGCCCTTTTGAAATTAAATAGTATTTTAATTGGATACTGCTTTGCCGTATTCGACATGTATCGGTGTCATATTGGAAGTGTATCAGTGTATCAGTGCATCGAATACAACATGCCTTCATAAATAGGTGTATCGGTGCAACATAGCTCAAGGACAACGACCTGGAAGATGAGTACTCATGAAGGGTATTATGGTTGAATAAACTATGAGTTTCTTTTTCTTCAAACAATGTTGTTACAGCATAGGATATGAGTAGTCATCAAGGGTATTATGGGTGAAAAAACTATGAGTGTCTTGTCCTTTAAACAAAGTTTGTTACGGTATTATGATTGTCTTCTTTTTGTTTGCTAAGGGGTTAAGGTTGTTTTGCCAGCACAATTGTCAGCTAGTGGTAATATTAGGAAGTTACTGAAATCGTTATGGTGAATGGATGATATTGCTGTAATCATTATAGTGAATAAAGATATTGATGTAAGGAAAACAGTAAACAGTAATGAAAATCCTCAAGATGCTTCTTCTTCCTCTAAAAACACAGTTTGTTGTCTCTATTCATATTGTATCACAGTACCCATACAAGATTCAAGCCATTTTGCTATGGTCAGTGCCAACTACGTTCAAAGCTCACCATTGATATCTTGCCCTTGCTGACTTTTACTGCCATTTTGTTAGGAACTTATCAACAATCGCTGGACCCTTCCCTGATTTGCATCAAGGAGATTCATTTAATTCGAATTTTATAACTCAGAGAGCCTCTAAACATTTACAGCAACAGCTAGCTAATCCTACTCAATTGCTCCTTTTGAAGTTCATAATATCATTTGTAATAGTCGGCTGGCTAGACCGATTCAATCGAATCGGTCCATAGAAGGAAGCGGCTGAGCGCGATCGTGAGCGTGGCTATGGGTGGGTAGATGCGAGTCATGCAACTCATAAAATAAAATGGAATTCGCTCAGTTGGGAAGAATTGAAAGCAAAGGAGAGGAAGTTTCAAGTAGGGGTGTTAAAAAATCACCTGACCTACCAGCAAGTTGGGGTGTCAAGAAATGACTGACTTGCCAACCCGACATGAAAATCCAGGTTCGGGTTGACTTATTTAATAAACTGTTCGTGTTCGGGTTTGAAATTCTGACCTATTTATTAAATTGGTCTGGTTTAGTTTGACACATTCGATTTTGACCCAAAATGACCCGTTTAATTTATTTTTTCATAAATTTTTTTATTTGTTTGTATGATTGTCTTATTTTTTATTAATTAATCTAATATCTATTATTAAAAATATATAAAAAGATTTTTTTTAAATGAAAACGGGTTATCAAGTCGAGTTCGGTTCTGTATTTTTTGACCCGTTTATTAAACGGGTCAAGTCAATTTCAGGTTAGGCCTAAACCCTGCCCATTGAACTGTTTTGCATCCCTAGTTTCAAGGTAGTAGTGTGGCTTTCCATTCGCAGGGAGAAAAAGAGGATTTCTTGGGGTTCATATTTGACGAATGATTCATGCTCAACTGAGAGGAAGATGAAGATAAATAGAAGAGGCTGTAAGATTTTGTTTTTGACGGAGGAGAAAGAGAAGTGTGTACTTGACAAAGATAAAGGAGAAAGAGTAGTGAAATTTTTTGCTCAATTTAGAAAGAAAAAATTGATGATTTGCAACTATACTGAGTGAATTAGTGCGAAATTTGTTCAGCAAGAGAAGTGCAATTGGTGAAATGCTTGACTCGACAAGAAGGAAGATAAATTGAGGTAATTAAGACAATTTAAACTATACCTAATTTTAACTATTTTATGTATATGATAGGCAATGCAATTGTAAAGTGTGCTTTAATAATTTTGAGATGTTCGATGTATCTGATATTGTTTTTCAGGTTGTTCGATGCATTTTGCGTTATCTTGGACAGCATTGAGGCATTCAATTTTTCCTTGACAATGTTTGACTTTTCCAATATAAAATTTTTATGTTAATTAGTATTGTTGATGTTGTTTTGAATAGTGGAAGAGTTGAATAGTATAATTGAGTTAAAAGTATTACAAATGTTCTTGGGCAAGATTAGATAAGGGTTAAATTGTTAATGAAAATTTAATTTGAATTTAATGTTAATATACTTTTAAACAACCTACAAGACGAAATTACATCCTTGATGGTAAGATTGTGCACTAATGAAAGCTAACTAAAAATTTAAAGAACTCTGAAGAGGGATTTTGATATTCACGAGAAAAGGATGGGTGATTGCACTTATTTTATAGTATGTATATTTTTTTACTAATTCAATGCAATTGACTAACATTGTAGTTTGTATGTATATAGCAACAACAACAATATCAGGCCTTTATCCCACATTTTAGTCTGCATGTATACTTGTTGAATTTTTAGAAGAACTATTTTACATTAAATTAAAGAAAACTAATAAACTAGAGCTATAATTTAGTATGCATACATGTGAAAACTGCTCATAAAGGAGTAAAATGAATTACAACATAGCAATGGAAATTATTGACGTGGAAAACTATATGCATACAAATATTGAATGTGGATGCAATGTACCTGGTACAATAAATAAAAATGAAAATGATTATACTTCAATTGGTGCAAAATGTAAAAGGTGCTACTTGAATAAATGGATTGTTAAAATAGTAAAATAAATAAATAAAAAATATGAAAGAAGGTTTTATCAATCAAAGATTTATAGTACTCAGATGTATATTAAATCCTTATATGTATATTAAATGAAAACTTTAATAATTTAGTATATAAGTTGTATAACTATGGGATGAGTATTGGTATAACACATCTTTTTATTCTGCTTCTCAGATGACTCCATTCAAGGTGTTGTACGGAAGGGATCCTCCCCATTTGGTGCACTTTGGGAGTAGCAGTACTCCAGTTTCCTTAGTCGAGGAGTACTTGGAGGAGAGGGATAGAGTGCTAGAAAAATTGATGATACATCTGCTGAGGGCTCAACAGATTATGAAGAATCAAGCTGATGGACATAGGAAAGACATCCATTTTGAAGTAGGGGAAATGGTGCTCTTAAAGCTCCGACCATATAGACAGAAGACAGTCGCCAACAGGAGGAAAGAGAAGTTGGCTCCAAGGTATTTTGGGCCTTATGAAGTGATGGAGAAGATCGGAGCAGTAGCATATCGGCTGAATAATACCACCAACAGCGACTATACATCGGGTTTTTCATGTATCACAGTTGAGAAAGGTCATTGTGACTATGCAGCCAACCACGAGTTACTGACGATACTTACTGAGGATTTAGAGGTCGTTCTGGAACCCTTAGAGCTGATTGGGGTTTGCCAGAAAGAAGATGGAACTAAGGAAGTATTGATCAAGTGGAAGAACCTTCTTGACTATGAGGCCATGTGGGAGCCATACGATTGAGTGAAACATCAGTTTCTTGATTTCATCTTGATGACAAGGTGATTCTTTAGGAGGGCGATATTGATATGCTGATTCACATTGAACCAGCCCAGTCGGCTCAAGGGGGGCTGGCTCAGCTCGTGTACAGGAGGTGCAAGCAGTTCGCCTCTAGTTCATTCCGCCCAAAGGGGTGGGCACCACTTGTCCAAGCGATTTAAAATTGAAAAGGAGTGGGCGGCTGGGGCATGGGAGGGAAATTAAATTAGGAAAACTTTTGTATTAAAGAGGATGAGAGGATTAGGGAAGATTATTTTTTGATTGATTTGAATTAGGGTTTCTTGGCGGCTTGGGCTCTAGACTCTCTTGTCTAGAGATTTGGGAGAGACGGTCCTCCTCTCGAATTGATGATCTCTTGTATCTTTGCTTTATTCTTGTTTTTCTTTGATTTCTATAAGATTTGCTATCGTTTGATTGTTCTTCCACCACGATTTCTTTGTTTTCTCGCCCATTTTTATCGATTAATATTAGGTTTGCTTTCGAACTCAAGTATTTCCTATCAAAATACACTAATAATTTGCAAAAAATTTTGAAAACTATAAATCAATGACTGATTCACATAGAAGATTTGTTGATTTTATTCAGGGATGTATGATTTTAGATAAAGTTCATCTTTAGTGATTTCCATCCTGACCTTTTAAGAAGCTAACTACAACATATTCAGAAACTTATAGGATTAAATGGAAAATAGATG